TTTAAAGTAATAATATCATATTAAATATTTGACATCAAAGTTTATAGCTTAGATTTCTCTTTAGTTCATTTTCGTAATAATATTTTATATTAGTTTTAATATGTGTTAGGATTTTGGGGATCCAATAACCAATTTACGGGCTCAGAAAAACACCAAACAAACATCAATCTCCAAAGGCTCGACCCAATAACCCTCTACACAATGGTTGTCTCTTTCTACCCTCTTCAGTTGCTATCTCTTTAGTACCCACAAAGGACACTAGGTGGTGACTACAATGGAGAAGAAACAAGGTGAACAATAATGGAGGAATCTCTCCAACTCCCCCCCCAAACCCGGCTACTCCCTTTCTCACATTTTCTCCACTTGTAGCACACTCCAAAATGGTTGAGTTTCTACCATATAAAAGGGCTAGGTTTAGGATACTCCTATGGTCCAAGCCACACTAATAATGGGTCAAGTTAATGGGCTAATAACCAAATCCATCCATTAACTAAACTACAAACCCAACCAAACTTAGGCCCTCCAGTGTGTATTAATTGTTTCCAAGTCGAGCCGTAACTTTTGGTGTCGCTAATATAATCCGACAACTATTTTACATCATTACCCGGATTTATTGGGTATCAAAAACCCAACAATATGTTCATTTGTTAATGAGAATTCAAAATTGAAAAAAAAAAAAAAAACATGATATTGAGATAAAATCACCTCGTACAAAAAGATAAAACAAACCTTTTCAAAATTAAAATGATTTATTTTTGTCTAAATAAAATTAAGAAAAAAAATTAAGCAAACAAATATAATAATATACGGACCATAAGATGAGAATGACAAAATGAGAAATTTACGCTAAGAGGCGAAGTTTCTAAAATTTTTAAAATGTGAAGAGTTTCTATCTATTATCATAAACCAAGTCTTTGTAATTTACTCTAAAAACAATATAAAAAGAAGGCTAACATCCAGAATTTTAAATATTTTTTTTCACTAAAAGCATAACTCCTACCCAAAGCAAAGGAAAAAAAGGCACTATTAAGGAATAAAGAAAATAGAGGAAAACATACATTTTATATCATATAAAAACATATAAATATGGCAAAGTTATTTTTGAATTATTGAGAATATAATTTTCACTTAAAAATTTGGCAACCCTTGAAGTTTGGCCTTTTAAAATAGAACATCATAAATTAATTTTAATGGTCTTTTCAACAAGATAAAATGATCAAAATGTGTTGAATTGAGTTTTTTTTTTTCCTTTTTGCATGATTAAAACTAATATTTTACCTATGCACTTTGCATGTAAAAATGAACTTGCATTGTGCTATAAATAATGAAAGCGGTTTGCATTATAGTTACCATCAATATAAATTTGTCTAGTCGAAGTGCACAATATACATAGCTTTTTATCTATTTATTTTTAGGAAGAAGTACCAATCCTTAAATTTTGACCTTATCTTTGAAAATGACAATTGGGACAAGGAAAATTAATAATAAACATAACTTTTAGTGTAAAAAAATGCTAAAATTTTCTAGAAAACAAAGATATTATAAATAGGTAGCACTTTATAAACTCCACCATGCATTTTAACATACAAGGCTTTAGCTAGAAAAATGAAAATTTTTGTCTAGAGATACATAAATCTTCCCAAAATTCAGAATACAGACAAATATACACAAAAGCTACCGCCCCAAATCGTCCAAAAATGTTGCTTCACGTATCCTTCTATTTTTAATCCTTGTCATTGAACCTGTTTGTGTATCATGATTGAAGAAAAAAAGCTCGTATGAGTAGGTTCAAAATTTTAAATATTTTTGTACAATTACTGTTAAAATATTTGATAAATTCATTGCAAATTTAATGTCAAATTAGTGTCAAATCATGTATTATGTTAGTTACATGGGATTGACCACTTTCACTTACGGAAAGATCATACAGTAATAAAAGTTTTAATTGAGTGATCTAACTGAAACAAATCAAAATTGAGCGACCCCAAAACACACACACACACACAAAATACCCTCTTACTTATTTATATATACTAAGTAATGTTCTTACTGTTAGAACTTTATTAAAACTTGAACTTTATGATCTTGCCANCCCCCCCCCCCCCCCAACCCACACACACAAAAAATACCCTCTTACTTATTTATATATACTAAGTAATGTTCTTACACCATAAGCTTGAAAAAACAACTGAACAAAATTATGGATTAAAGTAGAAATCAATCTTGTTATCTTATATAATATGGTATATGACAATAATGCATATCAAACATGTATTTAAATATTTTAGTCGGTCATTGGTAATAGAGAGAAATGCTCGATAAAATTATGCCCTTAAAGTCATCAGAGGGATTTTTCAATTGGTCAGATATTGAGTTTGCTCCCCAACGGTCACTTGTTCGAGTCCCCTCAGGCCATTGAGGTGAGTATCCGACTGTAAACTTCAAGATCCCATGGAATTAGTCAAGGTGCGCGAAAGCTTGCCGGAACATCCACGGTTATTAAAAAAAATGCTCTTAAAGTCCTAAAAACACGAGGAATAATGGCAACCCTTTATCCTTGCCTTTATCCATATTCTCCATTTATACCCGAACCTATTTCTCTCAAAGAACAAAATCTAAGCAGGAAAGTAAAAAATAAGTGGGAGAAGAAGTAGAACAGAAGAGAGAAGGCTACAAGAAAACACCAAGAAGATTCACAAAACTTACATCGACATAAAACAATTTCTTCAGTCCAAATCCAAGCCTTCAAGTAAATCAGTTTCTCCAACAACAAATCTCAAGAAAAATAGTACGTTCTACTTTCTGCATTTTTCTCATATCATCAATTAAACTTTTGTATTCCTTTTCTTGGAACTCCATGTCATATGTTCATCCATTTCCCAGTTTCTTAAAAACAGTTTGAGTCCATAAAATTTGCTGCCATCAACTATCACTTTTCAATGTATGTAATTAGATAACAAACCTGGTAACCGGTTAAAAGTGTGGAGCCCCGTGTCCTGCACATTCGAGATCAGCTTAAAAGTGGAAAAATAAGGGTATGTTCTCTTTGCCCTATTTTCGATTTTCTAAAATAGTGAAAACCCGTTCTCTTTTCTATTTTCAAAAACGTGTTTTTGAAAATGAAAAAAAAAAAAAAATTGCAAAGGAAACACAAAACGTCCCACGTTTTGGAAAATTTGAAGCCAAAACATGGCATTCTTACAAAATACGGGAAACAACTTCCAGAAACCCACAATCTACAAACCCGTCTCTCTCTCTCTCTCCCATCTCCTATATCACTGCGTTCTTTACCATTTCCATCTCCCAAACCCACAATCCAAAGCTTCCACTGGTTTTCCATCGGCGATTTCAAATACCCACAATCCATTTATTTTCCATTTCTTTGCCTGCTATTCTATATATTTTGGAGTTCAATCATGTTTCGCCTCTGATTTTTTAATTTGTTGGGTGTTAAAGAATTTTCATTGGCGATCTCTGATTCATCACACACGCACATATAGCCATATATGCATCTTATTTGTCGGATTAATTATCTTTATTGCCATTTCTAATTAAAAAGTTTGAATTTTTTTTTATTTTTATACCTACACAGTTGTCAATAATGGACATTTTGTACGCCCATTTGATCAAAATCGAATCTTGTGCTCCTTCACTATTTTCAAATTGCCTGGAAACATGAATCTGTAGGGTGGGTATTTTTGAGATTTTGAAAGGGGGTTGTTGTTTTGGAAGGTGTTTTTTCTATATGAAGTACGCATTTTTGGAGTGTAAAAACAATGATAAGAGAGGAAAAATGCAAGTTTTAAGATTGTGGGTGTGCATGAGACGGAAAAAGGAGTGATCAAGAAGAAGAAAAATGGGCTTAGGCTTAAGGTTAAAATTGAAAATTCTTCATTGATAGTATTATGTTATTTAGTTTGAGTTTTCATTTAGTTTCTGTCTTGGTTAATTGGGGTTTTACCTATAAAATACTCTTTGTTGGTTAATTGTGACTCTCATTTTATCTTTATTTTGTTATTAGTTACTAGCCTATCTTGTTGGTTATATTGGCTTATGTTTTTTTTTTTTTATTCCGGTGGTTTATGATTACCTGGCTATGGTTTCCTATAATACTTAAATGCACTTCACTTTTGTAATGGGCTTGAGGGTCACATATTGCTTGTTTCTGCAAGTCATAAACATCTTTAATTATGGCTGCTTTGTGTGTGTTAATGTGAGTGTTACCATATGATCGAATGTATTGCTCCATTTAGAAGACTCAAATAGCATGTATTACCATATTTTTTTACCTTTCCATTGTGTGCAAGATTATTAAAATACTTGCACTTGAAAATGTGTTTTTATGAGAAGGTTGTTATTGTATTAATAATACTTTTTTTTGAAGTCTAATAATGTTTTCCCAAAAGTAAATGAAGAATGTGAGTTATTAAGTATGCTTATCATAGAATAATAACTGCTATAGCTATATATTTTTCTTCTCTTCATTCTCCATAAACCATGCAGTCCATGTATTATGGATGCTTTGTTTTTTTGCATATTCTGTCTTCAGTCTCCACCCCCACAACCCCCCCGGGTCAAGAACTTGATAAAGACCATCAAGATCAGGTAGATCGGAGCTCTGTGTAAGTTATGTCTGTTGACTAATCTGCCTTAGGCCTTTAGTAATGAGACATCTGACTTTTTCAATCAATTCTTCACTATTGTGCTTTAATAAAACACTAGCTATCCACCTCTTCTTCTTTGTTTCTATTATGGATTTTGTTTCCCCTTTTGAAGTTGCTGTGAAGTAACTTGGCCAAATTAAGTTAATTATTTGAATTGAAAGTTTGTCTTATAGGCAAAATATATTGGTAACATCTACCGATTTTTATCTCAACTTTGTGTCTTGGAAAATATCTTGGTTTCTAATTTCCTTATGTTTGGGATAGAGAAACAGTCATTGGCAAGCTCAAAGATTTGCTGGTAACTCACAAGTCATGAAGAATGGTGCTGGTCCAGTTTCAGCAGAATCCTATGGTATCTGACTCTAACTGGGATGCCTCCTGTAGGGTAATGGAACTGCAATATGCACTAGCCAACAAGGCAACTGGCATACCTTTACCTCTGCAAGCAAGCATGCCTATTTCTGTCCCAAATGATGGCGCCTTCTCCAATACATTACCTAGGCGAGCTTCGGATGCATAGTCGACAAAATGTCCTACCAATAATTGTCCGTATGAATTCAGATGAATATGAAAGTCCAAGTGAAAGTTTTGCTCTAGAAGTCATTTGTACTTTGGTTCTCATATTGTGCATGCTATTATTTAGTCTTGTCTGGCAACAATGAAAATAGGAATGACATATTCATTTTGTTCCAAAGGGGCTACTCATTGTTTGCATACGATTCTTCTGTGATTTGTATGTTAAGTGTCAAATGACTATGCAAAGCCAACTGATTGATTTTTAGATATTGACAATATTTGTTATCTGTCTTTTTACTTGTAATTAGTTTATCTATAATCAAGGAGTAATGTTATTTATTATCACTTATGATAGTTATTGTATTTAGACGATCAAAATTGTATTTAGCAAGAATTGTGAGTACATAAACTTGATAAAATTGATTTCAAAATATTTATTAACATGTCAACATGGGATTAATGCTCCCCCTTTTTGCAACTTGATTAGGTTTGATGTGACTTGATGCTAATTAATTATTGTCACAAGTTACATACAAGAACAAAAATAAGGACTTGCCAAATTTAATTTAGGATATATTTTTTATATTTGAAAAAAAATATATTTCAAGATTCATCAATTTCAAAATTTATATGTTATTTAATACTATATTAATATTAAACTATTAAAACTTATTGAATAATCAGATTT